AGCAGTGGTTATCTGGATAGACCTTGATGTTATGTACCAATTGAAATGCATTTCTCTATACAGTAATCGAAAAATAGCTCATGCGTTCATCTGTTACCTGTATCACTGACGAATTCCCGTTAAATCCTACTTCATATATTGAACAGATTTCACTTTATACAGATTATAAAAGATATTTCTATCAGGAGTTGTTTCTTTTGTTTGCGGAATCTCATCATAGCCATCATCATGATCATTACCCGTAAGTGCTCAAAATAATCTGCATGCCATCTGTATTTGCATTCATACACTCCTCATGGCCGTAGTGTGTACACTTCAAGAGTCCGTGTTCGTTATGGTGAAAACAGCATGATCCCACTTCCATCTGTTGACATAGAACCATTCTCAAGTATTCTGCATTTCTTGAGAAAATGTAAAATATCATAAAATACAGTCAATTACAAATTCAAGTTATCTAAGTATTCAGTCCAGATTATCAGTTCGCATTGCTCACCATGAATTAGGCCTGTTTGATCAGGACATTTTGATGGAAATAAGGTACATGTTTTGCTTGGACTAGAACAGTTCATAATTAGTCCAATCAAAAATGTGTAAGTCACCGGCAATTCTCTTGCTATTGAGTTGTAGGTGATTAACTGTGTTGAATGAAAAGTCAGGTAATTTTTTGCTCATTCAAGTGATTCTCCATTCTCACCTCTGTAGAGTCTGTGCACAATAAATTACAGCTGTTGTTATCCAGTTACCAGGACACAGAACGCATAATCAGACTGTTTTATGTTGGTGGTGAATAATGAACAGGCTTTTCTTCTCAGTCATTTACTGACGTCACTTATCATTATCTATATGATGTGCATAAAATTAAGTGTAGTATAGCAGCAATTCAACTTGCCAAGTCGCTCACTTTCCTGTTACCTTTCTAGAAATTGTGACGTTAAAATAATTTCAAACAGTGAATAGTACTATTTGAAGACTTCAAACATTGAAAGGAGAAACTGTTGCACTGAAGCAAGAAAGATGGTTGACTGCCAGTGTGCAAAATACATTTCATGCAAAAGTCTGTTCATCTTCCGCCTCGTCTACAGTGTGTTTCATCGTTTGAGACTGTTTGGAGAAGGGAATCTAAGCGACATGTTGCTAAGTCATTCAAAGGCTTATCAGAAAACAAGTTTTCGGACACACGTTTCTCAGTTTATTTGTATAGCTTAGAAACATATCGGTCAAAATTCATAACATAACTGACTGAAACTATGGTAAACCATGTTACCATACTGAAAGTGTAAACAAAATATCTCATGACAAGTATCCGCACTCCAATTGACTGAAGTGTTTAGCTTTTTTGTATGAGGTTAACTTTAAACGGTAGATCGGTAGACTTTAACACTGAGGGCATGTGACATTCATAAAAGAGTATGGAATAGTTAGTACAATCGAATGAATATGTATGTCTCTGAAAGTCGAATGCATTGGATGTGATCGAAGAATTACTTAGGAAATCACTCATGGACTTATTTAGGCGTTTCAACTAGCTTCGTAATTATTATACTCTTTTCCCCTAGACTCTGTATCAATAATCGGACATTTGCATATCACAAGTTGATTTTAACCCTTACTGTTTCCTTTTGTCCCTGCTAATTCCTTAATTTTTACATATTTCTTCGTGCTTGTGTGTATATTCACGATGTGTAGTTCAACGATGTTCAAAGAATATAGGCCACTCGGATCCACGAGTGTCTGTGGGAAGCCTTGGTGAGTGATTTCCAGTTTGTTTACTGAGTAATTATATCCTCTTCAAAACATTTCAAATTCTACTGACACCAAATTCGGTCAATTAATTCATCGCCTAGGTGAATCATGTTTAACCCTATGCTTCTCATCGTCGTCTGCAATATAATTCTATAAAAAATTATGGTTCTTCTTCTTTCCACATTTAATGTTCAATGTCTGCATATTGAAGCAGATTGATGAGTACTCATAATGTTGGCACTCGACCGAAATACCATTCCGTGCAGGAAATATGTTCACCGATAAAACAGAAATACAGGTATAGTGAAGAGACGTCAACTAAAACGAAGGTGATCAGAATAAAAACAAGGGACACTGATTGTACTAAGTATCAGTATATGTCTGCATTTAATAATTAAGTGGTAACTGATAAGCTCCAAGATCATGAGGATATATTGATGTATACCAAAGCATAAACATTTAGAGAAAATCTTTTATTTTAACATTCAATGAACAAACATTTAATGGTAACTGACAATACTGATAAAGTGGAATATCCGTTTACAATAGAATTCTGCAGTTGATGAGTTCGCTTATAGGGTTACGAAATCAGTAACATCCTAATATTTGAGGAAACATAAACAAGATAGCAATATACGATCCAGCTATCGTAATGAATGTCATACTTGCAAAGAAGATGCTTCCACTTTTCGTTATTTTTGTCTTCCCGTCCCATATCATTCTCACGATTGTAAAAATGAACTGAAATGATGAACAGTTTGGAAGACAACCAATGAATTAGTATGTGATTGAATAGTGGAAATCGATTACACTAACTGGTTAATTTAGTGTTTTATAAAACTGCATTAAAGTACATGAACACACAACGATACCAAAGGTAGGATCTGCAAAGGTTTTTTTTTATCTCTATGCTCTATTTCACATGCACACATTGCATACCATTCATATATTCTGACGTGATGATTGCATAAATGAAGGCTGAGTTTTGCAGTTGGGCTTCATAATTACAGCTTTGCCATTAAAACTTCTAGAGATCTTTTCTACGGCATTAACAGTGGTGATGCATATCGGCATTGTTTCAGAATAATCGTGTCATTATTCACAGAGTAGTTGACCAATCTGTATCGTTGGTGACACGCAAACTGTACACAAATTATCTCCTAGTTTGCTGAAGGCATGTGACAGTACGTTCCGGACGTTGTTTTCCTGCTTCTGCACACTTATGAAGAGGGCGTATTTACAAGCTTGATGAAAATGCTTTCGAATCAAGTATACAGACCCACGCATTCCAGGGATTCACTGGAGACATTATAGCCGAGGAATTCGATTACTTTCAGTCACCTTACCTTAATAATCACTCATCAAAACGGCATCTGCACCAACCCTAATGAACAGAAACATGTGGGTTTAATGATTTTGATGAATAATCAATCTAACAACCTTCATAATTTTCGCATATGAAAGGAAGCACAGAAGTGCGCATCTAATCATCATCAACTCTCTACTGCAGAGATTCGAAGGATCACTGAAACGGAATGTTGAATGGAAGGGTGTGTCCACTCATGTTCAATCTGGTGAATTATTTTCAGCTAGAAGGATAAACATTGAGGATCTTTTACATAATCCGTCTGAAATAGTTTCTGTGTCCTTAACTATGATGAAATATTTGTTTGGGAAAATTACTGCATTTGAGGTGAACGTTTTAGTCCTCTCAGTTAATTTTAATCAATTTCGTACCCATCTGAGAGAGAATTTTGAATTAGCATCCAGTCAGTCCGGGACTCCATGTTAAGACGACATTTGCTGATGCATCTTTTATTTCTTTTCCTGAAGAATACATAATTTTGAATATTCCTGTTTGTTTTGGAATCTTCCGTCTACGATGCATGAATAAACAAGCATTTATTTAACCACTCAGTTATCACTTTTGTGCCATGAGACATTTCACCATTATTCATGGTAATGCAACTATAACTGTAACCACTACTCAAAGCAATAACGAGAATTATCATATCATCTCATGGATAATTCATCCCAACTCTCAATGGTTGCAATAAATTGTAAAACGCATGCATACATTATCCAGAATGGAAGATCCACATTGTTCACAGCCTTGCATGTGATTGGTTTTGTATACTAATTATTAGGTGATTGTTGTGGCCATTGAAATGGTCAGATTGATGTGTTTGAAGATTGATGATAATTTCATCGACTTAAAAGCACTTCTTCGCCTTCCATTTGATTAGAATTCAGAGCACTGTGAATGAGTTAACGACAATTATCAGTCATACTGAGTTAATTTAACTTACTATCGCCACAATCAGCACGGCAAAAGCAGCCAAAATTGGAGTGGTTATCTGTAAATAGAAGAGCAAAAGAAAGTGAATAAATGTCATGAGGGGTTAATAAAACAGAGTAAGCTGAACACAATTTTGCTGAATTTACTCGCAGATTTTATTTACATGAATGAATGACGAATAGAAATAATTGTTTGACAGTATTCTACAATGAAACTCCCAGAAGAATATCAACAGACATTTGACTAATGGTAAGCAACATTTTACTCAGAGGATAAATTATTATCAACACAGCTATTCTCTTAAACGAATTGCATTCCTGATTGACATGCAGTCAATGAAATGGACTATAACTTCCTTCCAGATATGAGACATTTTCAGGAGAAATAATACGAGTTTCGAAAAATACACATACCTTCAAATGAAACTGAATCACTGAGAAAACAATAAAAAGGATAAGAATTATTCCCATCAATACCGAACAGGCTATTAAGAAATTAAAGTTTGACAGCAGGAATGACTTCAGAAATATGGCTGCAAGAAATATTGAAGCGGCGAACACTGTAGTTAATGCAAGCGAAGTCAAACACCATTTCATTTCGAAACACGTTGTTGCCATACCGCAGAATATCGACACCGCAATATTCTGAAATTAGAAGAAGATTTTGTTAATAAAGTGAACACAAAATAATCAACAGTTCGAGAAGTAACTGGGACATTCTTCATGGTTCTACAGAATCAATTGGGAAAATACATGATGATGAAGTCATTGCTTCGAAAACTATTTCCCAGTACCCGTGAAGTTGTTGATTTCAACTGCTGAGTACATTTTCTGTCGAATACTCATATTTCTCAGTCAACCGAAGTCTGATAGCATTTCAGAAAATTTTCATATAATTAACAGTAAATTAAGATTATCTGACTATAGGTCACCGAGTTGAGAGAGATAGCAATTGACAAGATGAATGTACAAGCAACAGGTGTTAAGTAAGTAAGATCTAGTGTATTATTATTATTATTGTTCCCTTGGGTTCCTAGTGGAACATAGGGCTTCAACTGCACGTCTCCACTTGCTTCTGTCTTGTGCTGTACTTTTCACTTGCATCCATGTTAATCCATACTGTTTCAGTTCCTCATCACACGATCTCCTCCATGTCACCCTTGGACGTCCCACTCGCCGCTTCCCTTTCGGGTTCCACTCGAGCAATGGCCTGACGCGCGATGTCACCCAACGGCCTCCTCAGCGAGTGTCCAATCCATCTCCACTTTCTCCTGCATATTTGTTGGGCGATTGTCTCCTGTTTTGTTTGTTCCCATAGCTTCTTGTTTGTGATTCTTTCCGGCCATTTGATTTTCAGTATAGAACGAAGACAGTTGTTGATAAAGGTGTGCAACAGGCTGTTGGAAATATTCTTTGTGACCCGCTGGCCAAGTTTCTGATCCGTACGTAAAGAAGAACTGACTGACTTGACGTTTGTATTGAAAATCCGAATTTTGTTGTTGATGGTGAGTGACGAAGATTTCCAGATTGGTTTCAGGTTGATGAATGTGTTTCTCGCCTTCACAATTCTCGAATTGACATCCTCGTCCGTTCCACCTGCCTGTAGTTGAGACAATGCTCCCTAGATAAGTGAATGAAGTAACCTCTTTCAAATCCCTCCCGTTGATGGTGATTGGCGCTGGATGTTGCTGCTGTTGTTGTTGTTGTTGGTTGGTTATTTTTATAACCTCCGTCTTGTCTATGTTCACCTGGAGTCCTGTCTTTGCTGCTTCTTCGACCAGTTTGTCGGTTTTCGCTTGTAAGTCTTCGATTTTGTGTGACATCAAACATAAATCATCCGCGAAATCCAGGTCTTCTAGGTTTTAGATTTAGTGAATTCATCGAATTTCGGTGGAAATTTCAACTGAATACTCCATACAGACTGTTTCTGTATATATGTATACATATATACTATAACAAATATTTAAGGATGTATGGGAAAAACGATAGTCATCAGTAACGTGACAACCAACCTTTTTCGTATATTATGCGTATCACCGTGTGTTGAATATTCAGTTGAAGAGTCCCGTAGAAATTGGATGAATTCATTAATTCCTGGTTTATTAACATCTGTTTCTCACACGAAATATGCATCGATAAAGAAATATTTCAGATGAGGCTTTTACCACTAATTTTAAGATGATATTCACTGATGTGAGACTACTGCATGAGATGACCTGCGAACGCCTGTTACTCTAGCCTTGATAAATTCCGAACAAAGGAAACTTCTTATCCGCTCCACATGCATACCGAAATACAACTCTGCATGTGTGAACAATCCTCAGCAATGACATTCAAGTCAATGGAATATTACTTAACTATGAAGACGTAAAAATACCACGCTTTAATGTGAACATAAATATAAAGATGCCATCCTCTTCTATACTGATAGATTTCTGATTTACGTGAGACGCAAGATATAATGGAAAATTGAGAGTGTAAGTAGACTATCACCTTGATTTTAAGGCACTTAATAAGTACTTTCCAGAACAATTAAAGTGGCGTCACTGTTTCATTCAATTGAATGAGACATAAACACTCACAAAATAGAACAAAGAAACGACACTGACTTACGGTAATAACTGCAAATATGATATGCACTGCTAGCGGAATTCGAAATTGTGAAATAACAGTCCAAATAATAAATACACAGGCTAGTGCCACACTAAAAATTCAGTGTCACATTATATTTATCACGACTTACCCTAAGCCCAGATAAATCCACTTATATTCATCCATCCAGTTTTTGCCTCCTCTGCATATTCCAATAATACCTCATTCAATAACAGACTTACACAAAAGTGAAAACGATGACAATTATCAACAGAACGACCCATTGCAAAATTGTGTACAATAGAAAAACTCCCTGTTTTCGTTTAATCAAGAAGTAATAGGAATCATTTTACCTTACCTTTATATTCATATTTACCAGCGAATTTTGAAGGATATTACAACGATCTTCTTTCGCCTTTCTGAGTATGAAAATATCTCTGATACGGTGAATGTAATTTTTTCTATACAGCTAACGTTTCTTGGAAACAATCCTGTCTAGTGTGATCAGTTGTTGTTTCTCGAATCAGCAGTTATTGTGAAAACTCATTTTTCATAATTATTGTTTAGAGAGACGAACAGTCAAACTGACACATATGGTGATTAACACTAATAGTGTACTACTGTTAGAACTAGTGATTGGCTGCGAATCAACGACCTGGGATTGGTCATGATAATTCGAGGTCACCATTCATTGGAGAGTTGTGCTATTTTCAACACTACTCATCAGGATAATAAGTAGAAAATAATTTTGTGTTTTATTATAAGACAGTGGACAAATTACTGCACATGTTTATCTCTCTTGAGTCTGCATTACCAGTATTCATGAGATGCTCCTTCCTTTGTCTGAATAAAAGAGCTCAGTTTCTTTAGTTTACGAATATTAACTTGTCCAATTTAATTAAACATTCGTTCACTGTATGTCTACTTCATGTGGAAAGTTTGAAGCTTTGCATAAGTCAGATGGGCAGTATCACTGTTTCAGGTGGAAATCGGAAGTATACGGAGGAGGAACGAAAAGATGTTAAATTTATGAATTAGTTAATACTCACACATATACCTGTTTGGGTAATATAATGAGAAAAGACTGCACGTAAATCAAGGAACGTCTCTACTTATGAAAACAGTAATCTGGTCAATAGGAGACTCCAGAAATTGAATGTTTACAGGAATATTGCGTTGTGAGAGGATACAAGTGGTAGCATTTTGAATAGGTATAAGATAAATGAATTATGACGTCCTAAGGTATACAATGGCATTTCAATCCTCCGTTTGCTAGCCACCGGGGTGAGATATGGCAGAGGATGATATGCTGGGTTCTCAGAGTGCTGTCAATGGCACGACAGTAACGGTGACTTTTGAATTAGTAGGGTGGGCATGAGGAGTAGTGTGTATGCTGTTGGCAGAAAATCGGTATGGATAACAAAGACTACTGGGTGATCATGAAGAAAATCGGTAGACCTTGATGCGAATAAACTTTGGTTCGGTCAGAAAATATTCAGTGATATTTAGTGGCTTTGGATGTGGCAAGTGGATGACAGTCTATATGGTTGCCAAAAGTATTGACCGGTGTAGCTCAGGTTTAACATTTTTGGGTGTGCAACTGCTAGGTGTTCGAGCACGAGATAAAAGATGTGTGAATATGTGTCTGTGTTTTTGCGTATTCGTACTGATTCGTCACTATGTGAATGTGCGAGTGTGTGAAATGGATTGGCGCCAACTTCCTCATATATACGTACCATTATATTAATATTAAGTGCAGCTTAACATACATGAGGAGTATAGAAAGATATGTTATGCTGATCTACAGACACGCGTGCATATAGATTCAGATACCTATGTGGGTCAGTCAATTTTGTAAGCTGTGCTGAAGGTGCTGTGTGAGGTGGAGTGAATGTGCGTCTGTGTCTGTAGATGGACAGACAGGATGTAGCAAACAACCAACCAACAAACCAACAAACCAAAAAACCAACCACCCAACCAGTCAATCAATCAACCAATCAGCGTGATTGGATTTTGTGAGTGAAGGAAAGAATTTTGTCTGCTTGTCGGTGGGTGGTTGAATGCGCGTAGAGCGTGTGGAGAAGAGTCGTGAATTGATCGGCGAAAGCGGGTTGACACTTGATGGTTATGCATGTGCATTTGGTTTGAGTGTGGATCAATCGGAGTGGTGGACGGTGTCTACTTAACTGTGATCATCTATCTAAGAAGCCTGACTGATGACAATCCTCGAAACACACAGAGTTGATGAGTGTAGATCAAAAGGCCCTAGTGGACGGAGAAGGCCTCGCCGAGACTCGAACTCGGGTCGCTGGATTCAAAGTCCAGAGTGCTAACCGCTACACCACGAGGCCGCCATTCTGCCGACGCCATACACACAACTCCCCATGCAAACCCTACTAATTCCAACGTCATCATTACTGTCGTGCTATCAACACTACCCCACCCCATCCCAAATCACGAAAAATACATACAAATGCACACAGCCAAAAATCACCAACTCAAATTTGCATGCACGCACCAACCCGCTCTCTTTCCCACTGTCCCATACACTGTCAGATAAATAAAACACCACACAAACACATCGAAACTGTCTTTCTTCTCAATATGTCAGTTGAAAGATTTGAAACAATGCTCCACCCTACAAGCAAATTTCGTCATCGCACCTACAAAAACAGCGACAGCAACATAGCCACAACCATCACTGCTAACAGTACTACCAGCAACAAAATCGATAGTTTCGACGACGGGAAGCGCAACAAAAATGTTTGCATCAACAATATCACACGAAAATATTTGCACAACATCCAGTACTACCGCACATTGGGAGAAGATATTATTCCATGTCCACTTCTTACATATACACGGAAAACCTCCATGTTGACAAGGATGATGGATAAGACAGTCACTCTGTCACACCCATGTGCATATATCAGTGTATTTGTTCTTATTTATGTCAACAAAGTCCTAACTTATAATTTTAATTCCGATTTCTTTGATACAAATTAATATGGGTTGTGGTGATCGCCTAGCAATATTGGAACATGAAACTGTCAGTGAAATATTACAAAAGTCGAACTGATGATAGAACCATTTCTGCTCAGAAGATAAAGTATTATCAAATTGGCCTTCTTACATACACATGCTATTCCTCGTCTACACATAACTGATTATCAGGATTACCGTGACAGTTTTATTCTGGTCAAATTCAGGAAACGTTGAGGAAGAATGACATAAATTTTCACAAAGATATATACGATCAGATGAAACGTTTTCACCGAAGGAACTACAGGAATGATGAAAGTTACTCCCAGTATTGTTGGATCAGCAAATGAGGATTTGTAGTTCAGCAAAAAATACCACGACTCCGAACACTGTAATCAATGCAAGTGAAGTCAGACAACATTTCACTTCATAACATGAAGTTGTCAAGCCACATAATTTCGACATCAAGATATTCTGAGATGAGAACAAGATATTGCCAGAAAAGTGGTCGCGGAACATAATTTTGGGGGAAATACATGATGATTAAATCTCAGGTTTGTAAACTATTTCTCAATCCCTGTAGAGTTGTTGATTTTCAATAGAAAATTCATGTTTGCAATTCGCAATTCCAGTATGCAAGAAAGATTCTTAAGTGACTAACAGAAAAGTAAAATAATCTTAAGATGGATCGTTAATTTGATGAAATGTTAACCACGAAGTGGAAGATAATTACTAGTCTGCAACTACATAATACTGAAGGGAGAAAATGTTTACTTCTTCGCCAAGAATCTGTGGAGACAATAAATCTTGCGTGAATGATCTTCGGGAACGCAATTCACACTTCTGGAATCTCGACTCACTAATGCTGCCTAAGTGCCGAAAACATAACAGGCTTTCATATCAATGGAGACACCCTGGTAAGTGTAATCGGTCAATCTTCTACTATCCATATTAGAAAGGTTTATTTGAAGTGGCATAGAGGGATGCAGTACTAATAACTGGATGACGTTTTGAGAGCAATTTGTTGCTCATAATCATCACAGTCTGTTGACACGATCTAATAATTTACTTTGTATATTTTCCCACTACCCCTTGTTGTTCATTGTGACGTTCCATATATCAGGTATTGACATTGGGGCATTTCCAATGCATTGAATCGATGAACATAGATTCGGTGATCACTGTCTCTCCCTAGCTAATTATATTACTTTTTATACATTCATCTTGTCCCACCCTATTATGTGATTCCATGAAAGTAAATGCATCGCAGTGGCTGAGCTTCTTTCTAGGATGTTTAAATAAGCATGGTCATTTATCCTAGTTCCAGTTAAATTCATATGTTCCAATAACCTTATTGATCATGATCTATTAGTTTCACCAATACAATTGGCCCCGAATAGGATTCGGCGAGTTGGTCGTCAGTGCGATGGTGACAAGGTTTAGGTCATACGAAGGGAGATGAAAGCAGGCGTGGAGACGTGGGCAGACGTGGAGCTAGATGAAAACACTGGCGGAAAACCGAATGCAATGAAGACGTGCGGTTGAAGCCCTATGTTCCTGCAGGAATTGAAGGAAACAATGATAATAATGACTCCATAATCATCGCATGGAATTTGGTAAATTACATTAATTTCACAATTTCGTATGTTGGGTAATCAAGGCAACAAATTTTGTCTCTTAGTGAGTTGAACAGTCTAAATGCAATCCAAATTCCTGCCCGATTAGGAGACTTAAGTGAGGCTTCTGATGTTCCTTCTCTATTTGGCAGTAATATAGTAGCTTTTAATCCCTTAATATTATTACATTATTTTCAATATTTTTATTGCTGCTCTTATTTTCATTATGAGTTTTCATGCATTTGTGAATTGAATGTGATGTGTGGTAATAATAATGGAAATGATATAAACAGTAAGGAATTTTAAGCTGCCATTCTAATGCCATCCAAAGGAGGTTAGTCAGAAGCTCTGTGTAATATTCTCGCCTTGATATCAATTGAAGGAATGAAGTTTTCTGTCTGCTTACCATGCATCAGTCAAATCCTATCTCAATTGTGCAACCAATCTGCTGCAACGACATTAACACTACTGGAATGTCGAATCACCAATAGTTGCTTCAGTGACAAATCAATAACATGCTTTGATGTCAACGGACAAACCTTGGTAAAAGTAAATAGCCAATCTTCCAATTGATTGACAGAAGATTTCTCTCCTTGAGACGATGAAACCAATGAACGCACAAAGGACAAGAAGAATGTCATCTTGTTTTGAACAATTTTGAGCATTACAACTCAATGCGAAATTGTCCACAGAAGAAAACTGCCGTGTTTTCAAGTATTCAACAAATATTAACAATTATTTCACCTCACCTTAACACTCATATTTATCAGCGAATGTAGAATGAAAGTTTGCATAAGGGTTTACAACGACGTTGTTTTGAATTGTATCTTTACCTTAACTTACGAGATGTTTGACATTTCGACAACTTAATACCGTTGATAAATGGCATTTGATTAATGTGGGTGGAGGGAGTAGTCATTGTGAATCAAAACCAATAGTATTCTGGTGTTTGAA